AGTGCTCTGATGTCAGGCGGGTTGCAGCCTTTATATAGGATTGTGAAGCTCTATTAGCCTTCTGATGTCCATGTTCTGTGGGTGTTTTCATATTTCTTTTAACCATTTCTGAGAAATCTTATGGAGCTAAGAGTTGAAGTAATCATCAATATTTATGACCAGACGTAGTGTTTAAAATTAAAAGTCTGGAGTTTTTACGCATTATGCTGGTATCATTGACCTACTTTTTTTTATGTAGTACAACGTACACATGTGGGGAGGAGTCTTTTTTTTTTCGTTACTTTTCTAACGTTTTTGTGCTTCCTATGTGCTCCCTCACATATACTATAAATGCACGATTTCATCATGAAACACACCACGCTTTTGGAGCACGTCGGCAGAACGTACTGCACCTGCGCGAAACCCGTAATGTATTGTACATAGCATTTCGGCAGAATGTCTCACATAAGGTTGTATTCGCTCATATAAGGATAGCATTTCGACAGTAGTTTCCAAATGTTATGCCGGAAAGAATATCCTCTGCAACAGGAAAAATTCTGATGCAACGTTGACCAAAAACCCAACGAAAAACACGAAAATACGGGGTTCTGCGCAGGCGCAGTACGTTCTGCCGACATGCTGTCTTTTAGTACCCTTGAAATTGTATGTTCCTCCATATATCTAATAGTCAACTTTCTTCTGTGGGTACTTCCATGTTCAGTGTTCTATTTCTGAGAAAAAGCCGCGTGTAGCCAGAATGACAAATGTGAAGCGATTTGGACAGTAATCATCAACCGGACATGACATGACATTCAACTGTCTCAAATTAAATGCTTGAAGCTTTTACGCACTGTTACCATTGCAATTGACCTACTTAAATGTACGTACATATGCGGGGAATGAGCTTTCGTTTCCGTTACATTTTTCGTTTACATTTCCCGGTACATTGATAAAGCTGTATTGTACATTATGGTCCCCATTGGAGAACCAACGGTTTGGGCAGAATCCAACACCACGTTCATGTACGTCCACTTAACAGTGTTTTCCAGCAATATTTCCACATACAAGAAGACGTCCATGACACAGTAAGAGTTATATATGGCAGGTATGTAGCACTGTATACACTATGTAGTTGTACATGTACATGATGCCAGGATTTATACACCAAATTCTAAACATGTACAGTACATGATAAAATCGATTTTCCGTCCATTCTCCTAACGGAATTTAAATTCTTTATTTCGTTTCAGACTCTCATCAAAGATGTATCATTATAATTTGTTGACCACCTGACGCCCCTCTCACAGGTACTCGATCCGCATGAAAAGCGGTTTAAGATGGCCGAATGGGGTAATCTATCTGTAGATATGTATACGTATCGAGTATAAATAAAGGCACAAATAATCATGACATTCCTCATATTTCCTTTTATTTCTCCCGGCATCAAACATCCTCTTGCTCTTAGTGCCAAATTACAACAGTGGGACAAACAACTAGTTTATTTCCAAAAAGCCACAGTTCGGAACTTTTACACTTATAGATGTCTGCGCATGCTTAACAGTCATCAATGTCTATGTGACAGTCACGTGATGTTCTCGTGGTCGGTGCGGCTGTCCTGAAAAAAAAAATACAAAGAACGACTTAAAAGAAATTTGCCTTATCCTTAATTAGAAGCATCCTTAAGTTACGTCTTCAGCTTTGCAGCCATGCTGCATTTACATTTCCTCTGTGTCCAGAAATAGGATTAAATGATTATAGTATCACTAGAGTAGCTTAACCTGTTCCACAGACACTTGTTTGAGTGTGGGACATCATATCTAATATAGGGTTTTACAAACCTTTAGATTAATTGATGAATAGGTTGCCTATGGGAAAACAATGTGTAATAATGCAACTACAAAGCACAAATTGAAGAATGAATGTCCTTTGTACTTACATTTTCTTTATTCCATTTCCTCCATCATGTCCGCCATGGCGTCGTCCACGTCCCG